AATATAATATAATATAATATAATATAATATAATATAATATAATATAATATAATATAATATAATATAATATAAGATTTTTTGTTTTAAATAATTATCACTTATGAGGATTGTAAAGTCCTTCGTTAACATTGTTAAAATAAGACACAAAAATATATGACCCCCAAATCAGAGATATACTGTAGATAATCACTGTGAGTTATTAGTATGAAGGAAACATGCCAAAGAATAAAGCATTGAACAATCACACCATCCCACACCTTCTGGATTGTTCATTTTCATGCTGAACTCCACATTCATATTTTCATGCAGATGAAAACAAATCTAAATACCCCAGTGCATGTTGTCACATTAAATTGCCATCACAGCCAAAACACAATTATGAAAACAGAGACTCAGGCTCCGTATTTGGCTGGATTTGCTTTGAGTGCTCCCTGATAGCATTAATGGACTTTTAATATTTCACTGGGACTGAGGGATGGAAAAAGCGAAAGGAGAAAAGGGACTAGTTAAATAAATTGGGTAACTGAATTGCATGGACAAGGGTGTCCAAACTGATGTCTATTAACACACAGACTACAAAAACTAATCTTTATTTTAAACATGTCATAAATGGGCCACTTCACCCTCACACAAAGAAAATATATTTCCTTATATATTAAAAAGTGTAATGTTATTGAAAAATTACAGAACAATAGGGGTGAATTCAGATAAACCAGGATTTTTGCCATTGAGATGACTGGGAAAGAAAATATCCCAATTAACCAGAATTCACCCCTATATTAGAGAATAACACATAAGTAATTGCTGCTTTTCAAAAATGTTAAAATATTTGACATATATTTAGTTAAAAATCATAATTGTTTGTCAGTTTATATTCAGCACTTCATTTTATACAGCCTGTGTATATATATATATATCAGGGATATTATCGGACTGATATCAGAATCGGCCGATAATGGCTTTAAATGTAAATATCGGCATCGGCCCGATATGAAAAATTATGCCGAAATGTCTTGCCGATAAGAGAAATACATTAACTCACATGTGCTCAGGGTGTGCTAGTTATTAGATGACGTCAGCAGTGTGGCTCATTCTTGATGCAAAGTTTTGCCTGAATGGTGATTAGATTCACTGCTTTGGATCGCTGCATTTAAATTGAGAAAGCACGTACAGAATGACGCGTTCATTCGGTGTATGATAGAGTAAACAGTAATAGCACGTGCAGTGGTAGCCTCCCCCGGGTCCTAATGCCCGTTCGTAAATAGTTTTATATATAGGTGTTGTTTCCAAACAAAAGGAAATATATCGGTATCGGTATCGGGCAAAATTAGTTGAAAAATATCGGCATATCGGATATCGTCAAAAATTCTATAACGTGCATCCCTAAAATATATATACATATATATATATTGTTCACATATGTACATTCTTTGGGTAGATGAAGATATAATTTTATAACATATATTAAATCCCCATAGTAAAATTTGTATAGCTACATGTTAATAATATATAATAATATATAACGATTTTTTTATATGGTATTGAAACAACTATTTGTAGCAACTATATATATATTTTATTTATATATGCAACTTTATTAAAATGAAATATATACAAAAATCTGTATGTTTATGTATATTTTTGTACTACATTTAAAAAAAAAGTACATGCCTATGTTTTATATTTACTTATATAATATCAACATGTATTGATGGATTTTAGTCCAGGCTAGATACTATATATTACATTTTCCAATTTCTATTATGTTTCATGTTTGTTTTTCCTTCATTTGAATATATTTCATAAATGGAAATTTTATATATGTACATATAGTACCTTTGCATATTGGTTAGATGGGTAAAATCGCACAATCTTTTGATTTAAAGTTTCTAAAAGTACGCTTGAGATGGATTTGTCAGAATTCATGCCCACTTACACAAACTCCAGCAGGTGCATTTATCCGTGGCATAAAGAAAAAGTGATCTCATTATCCCATCAGATAATTCCCAGCGGTCTGCGAATCAACAACGTCGTAATGAGGACAGGAGCTGTTTAAAAAGAGTCGAGATGCACGCGTTGCATGGAGCAGACCTATTTTAGACTCTAACTTGACTAGACTAATTTACTCTGGGCATCTGAATGCAGTAATTACGCAGTGACCATTCTGACTGATTGCAGAACCATGCTCCACTTTCAGAGGAAAATCTGAGCTTGGAACTTTGTGTGTATGTGTGTGTCGCAACTCTGCAATGCAGTTCTTTGTGGAGTCAAATTTGCAGCTTTGTTCTGTCGATGCCTTGGCTTCCTGGAACACAATTCTCAATGCTTTAATTCACACATGCCACCTCGGGTTAGACTTTGATCCTCCTGCGTGTCGACGTTCGGCTGCTTGTTCGTTTTCGCTGCAGATGCTTCAAAAAGCAACGGCGTGCAGCACAATATAATCACGCCTCTCTGAAAGGCGACTAATTAGGGAATGAAAATATAAGGTTGCCATGGATACAGGTCACCCAAACTCAAAGGCTAAACTACGGGGAGAGTTTACGGAGTACGAACTGCGCCCACTGATTGCACGCTTCGCTTGCGTTGTTTTAGTGCCTGATTCGCTAAAGGAATTATGCAAATCAGATAACGATGCAAAAAGGCATAAATAATTAGCGCAGGGCACTTGTGGAGGATGCAACAATCAGGTGACTTTAAAGTGACTGTACAGCATCACGAACAAATAATCTGAAAATGCAGATAGTGTGGGCTACTGGACCATTTGATCCTCATTTAATGAATTACTGCTGCCATGATCAATAAAAATATACATTAAGGTATTTTATTAAGGTATAATATTTTGTTTACCGCTAGCCTTCTATATAATGCCATATTTAATTATTAAGCGCATTAATTGCACCAAAAAGCTTTGTAAATAAGTTACAACATATAATAAGCCTAAATTGCATAAATATAATATAATATAATATAATATGATATGATATGATATGATATGATATAATATAATATAATATAATATAATATAATATAATATAATATAATATAATATAATATAATATAATATAATATAATATAATATAATATAATATAATATAATATAATATAATATAATATAATATAATATAATATAATATAATATAATATAATAATATTTGGCAGTCTTGCATTCAGATTATAAATGAGATTAAAAAAATATCCTGATCCAAAACCAAAGATGTAGATAATCTGCATAAATCTATATTATATAGCATAGTGGCTATCTTATAATGTGTATGGCAAACTGTTGATTTATTGCTATCAAAAATACAAAATGCAAATTAAAAAATAATATAATAAAATATATAAAACTTATAATAATTTGTATAATATAATTAATATAATAAAATATATAATAATTATAAAATAATTTTATAATCATATAATATAACATTTAATATTACATTTTGAATTAAAAATGACACAATCATGCTTTTTGGGAAATTATCAAGCATGCTTGCACTGAAAATAAAGACAGTGACTTCTAAACTGGATTGTGGGTGATTACTGAATAAGACAGGTTTTTGTGAATTGGTCCGTTTGTTTGTTATGTTTAAAGTACATACTTTGTCTGCCGTCCATCGATGGAGTAGAACAGCTCCCGCAGCTCATCAGTTGTCAGTATCCCATCTGCAAAATACGCTTTGAACTCCTCGAAGGACAGCTTCCCGTCATCTGCAAGAAGACACAAGAGGAATCAGACAAAGATTCAGCAATCAGAGAATCTGCTGCCAAGTTTCCACCCAAGAATTTTTTGAGACAAAAAGGTTTAATGCATCAAAATGTTTACTGGTATAGCTGGTGTAAATGCTAATTATCATTAAAGTGTCATCTACATATTTTTCTATTTACCTTTAGAGCATAAGTGTCGATACTTCACGAAGAACTAGTTTAGAAACACTTTTTTTTTTTAGAAAATTAGCTTTAGTGCAAATCTGTGTTTGTATGTTGCTCCCATTAAATAGTTGTTTTTCAGTAAAGTTTAAGGAAGTGTTAAATCTATTTGGACTTCATATGAAGTGAAATGCCCTACTAAAATCTAAATCAAAATAAAAACAAAAAGTGCTGTTTTTTTTATTATCAACATAAAAGGTCAACAAATGCCGACAAAAAACACACATTTAGACAGGAAGAGACTGGCTGATGGGCATGCAAAACGACCAATCACGGTTTGTTTTGCTTTTACATGCTGTGTAGGGGTGGGTTTAAAAAAAGTACAGAATTCGATAAACAGCTGCTTGTGCATATCTAGTTTATTTGCTCAAACATAACTGAATCTTTTAAAGATTTGATGCCACAAACCTTGCAAACTTTGGAAATGAGCTCTTCTTCATGTGTTCATAATATCTTCACTTCACAATTGTTCATCACAAAAACATTTGAATTGATCTTAAAATGCAGAAAGTGTCCTTGACTACACTGTGCATCTCTATAGATGCAATTCTAACGCTCTTCTGCATCATTTATTTGATCATCATTTAATGAATTACTGCTGCTATGATGATCAATAAAAACTGTAGACAAAAGTCTTTTCAAAATAATATTCAGTTTACAGCCAACCTTCTATACGCAGTAATGCCTTAAGTGCATTAATTGCACCAGAGAAATAGCAATAGAGTTGCAATATATAATAAATTTCAAATACCCATTTAGACAGAAATAAACATGCAAAGCAACCAATCACAGTTTGTTTTGTTCTTACTTGATGTTTAGGAGTCAGTTTAAGTACGAAAAACTCTGTGTACATAAAATATAATTTAATTGTGGAAACATGTGTCCATGCAAAAGTAATGCAGATTTCAATGAACAGTTGAAATAAGATCAATATTAAATAAATTTGATTATCTGATGGCCTAATACAAAAACCTGTGCAACTTGACTCTTGAAAATTGCAATGCAATCTGGTTAGAGCTTGCAATGTTGACTAGATCTTTCCAGTTTTGCATGCAACATACATCAAACAATCAGTGAAGTGGCTGGAGGTTGAGACAGCGTTCACCCCGTCTGAAATACTGTCGTCTCAGCCTACGATGAGCATCTTTATTAGGTCAGATGAACACCTGGAAGTGCTTTTTACTGACGGCAGATCAACCTTGATATGTGAACTACCATCTGCCGTTAGTGCATCTGCTCTTATTATTAGGTAAAGTGGAGAAGGTGTCATCTATCAAGAGCCCAAAGAGAAATATACACGGCAGTATGTGACAGCACTCCTTTATGGCTGACAGATCGTCTAAATCACTTCCTCTCTGAGTGAGCACGTCACTGAGCATTCGAGCACACTCTGACATTTATCAGCCTCCTGAAAGACACCAGAGGTGCTTATAGCCCTCCAGTTGTGCATTTGAGGTTTGACGACACTTCAGCTTGACGTCAGGGGCAGCGAATGACTTTCCACAACGTGAATGTGAGAGGAAAACTCTGGTGTCTAAGATCTGAAAAAGCCTATATCTACTAGCCTAAGAGAAAATGGTGTGCAGAAAATAATATCGCAAGATTTGTATGTTTTCTGAAGGAAATACTGGAGAAATACCTGTGCAAATCCATGCCAAAATTATTCTGAATAATCTTCTTAACCCTTAAAAGCCTGACATATGAAATAATAGTCTGAAAAAACTTTTTTATGGAACAGTTTATTGAACCTTTAGATCAAATCTAAAAAAAAAGAGAAGTTTGAATATGTGTTTTTGTTATCATATTTGATGCATCAGGTATTTATGGCTCATATAGTCTGATATAGTGAGAATATGGAGGGGAAAAAAAAGCTAAATTTTATTCAGAGAATGAAACTGAGCAAAAATATGCAATTTGGTGCAGATGCTGATATTTATATGATGAAATACTGATGCTTGTAATGTAAATCAACGAGATCTTTAAAACATTAAAAAATGGTCACTCTATATCTGCAATAATATGTCTTAGTAAGATGAGATTGAAATGCTCCAAACATATAATGCAGTGATTGAGAGCTGAAGAAATAAAGGCTCCTCAGAAGATGTGAGATGTTCTGGAGGCTTGTGAAGATCATTCCTCCGCTGAGGAACAGTGAAAGTAAAGCTTCTGGAAACAAACGCTCCTCAAAAGATCCTGAGGATCAGATTTGAGACTCTAAAACATGATTGATGGAGAATCAAGTAAAGCTGAGCTGCTTCAGTCCAGTAAGAGTTCATCTGGAGATATTACTGCAGTTATTCTGACGCTTACTTGATCAAAATTAGCAAATATTTGACAGCAAAAGATGTTTGTACTATTATACTAAAAGACCTTTAACTCTAAACTATCAATCAGACGACAGAAGGCATGGAGTAGATTGAGTGTGAAATTTTTACAGGCCTAAAATTGCGTCTCAAATCCGATCCAGTAGGTTTTAAAGGGTTAAATATGATTAGACTGAGATTCAGAGGACGTTATTATCATTTACTACAGTGATATATAAAGTAGCCTGAGTTTGTGCCTCTGAGAACTTTTATATTGGAACAGAGAAAAGTTTCAGGCATAAATCAAAGAAAAATTTCAATGAGAAGCAGTTTGTCTCCAGGGCCAGAGATCAGACGAGAGCATCAGTTCACTCCTCTTTGAGAAAGAATACAATGGAAATTAAAGTCAAATACTCAAAGCATCACTTATAAAGCACACATTTTGATGGATGAATCAAAAGAACAATAACCAGACAGATAAAACAGAAAGAAAACCACCTAGAAACCACGCAGAAACAGGTCACTTGATATAAATCTCAGCAAGACATCATATAACCATCTGATTCACAAATCCGCACAAAGGGGGTTTGAATGTTTTTTAAGTTAAAAACTACTTTTTTGTGGCCAAATGGATACTTAATTACACATGAGCCTCACAGAGACAGTGGACATATTCACCGCATTAGAACACTGTCCAACGTCTCCAATTCATTCAAGAGCAAATTTGACGGCCATCTGGGTTCAGTCTCTTCACAACAGACGGTAGGCTATCACTGATCAGACTCTCTGCTTCAGAGCCAAATAGTGCCACCTTCTTCATTCTGTCTATGGGTACACACTAATACACACTAACCAGCCAAAGAAGCACTTAAAAAATGTTTTGAGCAGAAATTTAATTATGCTGGAAGAAACATCAGCACTTTCAGAGCAGAAAGAAAGATTGCAGTTTTCTCTCCAGAGAACTCTCTACAGCACATTTGCATACTAGAAATTTAGTGAGTCGTTTAATTGCATTATGCACAAATATCAGACATAACAGCTTCATTCACAACACAGGTAAATGTGGCCCAAATCTGTTTTTATTTAATTGTGAACAGCAAAAATCAATACAAATAACATTTTCGATACCAATCTGGCTTACTTTCATTAAAATAATTTAAATATGTATCTGTTTGCACCATATGCAATATTACACAGAAGTGATAAAAGTGATTTTTAATATATAATACTATGATACCATTCAAAAGTTTGGGGTTTGTATGATTTTTGTATGTCTTTTCAGCAAGGATGCACTAAATTGATCAGAAGTCACAAACACATTTATAATGTTACAACATATTTCTATTTAAAATAAATGCTTTCTAACTTTTTTTATGCACTAAAGTATCCTAAAAAAATTATGAAGTAAAAATAAAAATAAATCACCAAAATGTTTATTGATCAACAAATCAGCACATTAGAGTTATTGCTGAAGGATCATGTGAAATAAATTACATTTTAGTATATATAGAAAACTGTTACTTTAAATTGCAATAATATTTCACAGTTTTACTGTTTTTACTGTATTTTTGATTAAATATATGCAGCCTTGATGAACATAAGAGAGTTCTTTCAGGAACATTCAAAAATCGTACTGATCTCAAACTTTTGAACAGTTGTGTATATTCAAAAACATATTTAAATGTTCATATTAAAAAAAAAATCTGTTATATTTAAAAATATATATTTATGTACATTACATCTCAAATGTTGTGACAAATGCACTGGACAATATAAGTTAAATTGTTAATATGCATACATTTAAAAAGGATAAATCATTTCATTTAATAACAAAATATGCAATATGCACAAAAATGCAATATATGCAAAATATGAAATTTTATATTAAAAATATTTGTGTGATGTGATGAATATCTGTTTGATGTTATGATTAACATGCCATGGTAAATTGTGCTTTTTTTTAGACTGATTCAGGCCATATCTAAAACATCCTCAATCACATTTAAACATGAACATTGGAAATGAGCATCAAGCTTGAGTTTGGTCATCTATGGATTGTGAACATTTGCTTTGTTTTCTTGCCTTAACATCGCCTGACATTTCTAGGTCAAAGTTTAATTCTGAGAGATATCTGAAGTCCAGTAAGAGCTCCAATCTGCCGCAGACCGCTGGATAGCATCTCTTGTGGTTAATGGAGACACTGGAGAGGAGCGTTTGGCTCTCAGGAGACTCTTATCTTCTCTGCTGCTCTGCCTTATTTAGTCTCAAACTAATGTGCCATTCTGTGTTGTTGTCTAGGGATCAGCAGACTCTAATGCATCTTTCTAAGCATTTCCCACCCAGCCCATGCTGTGCTTCAAACACATTTCCTTCAGCGAGGGTGGAGCAGCATGATAGAACATCGTCTGCTACAGTTACTTCAGGGATTTATACTGTTAAAGCCTCGTTTGTTTTCCCCTTACACACACATCTGCGCTT